ATCTTGAGGAAAGAGTCAAGGAGAACAGTCATTCGTAAAAAGACGAAAATAGCTGCCACTTACTCCATACTGTGCGCATTGTAACTCATGAAACACTCATACTATGGTGCCTTGTTCCTGGGATGAAGAAACTAAGGCTTCAAGAAAAACTCTTCCAAGGCCTTACAGCCATCCACAGTGGGCCTTGCCCTCTAACCCAGTTCTGACCCAAACCGCCTCTTAAGCTCCAAAATACGACAAACATGCTGGGGCTCTTGGGCCCCTCCCCTTCATGGGGTGAGCCAGCAGCAGTATTCCCAAATACCCAGGCAGTAAAGAAAGAGAAAATGGATTTTGGGGAGAGAATAGACTAAGGATTTGGAGGAGCTGGGTTAAGAGGACTCGGCTCTGGCTCCAGCTCCTCCACCATCCATCCACCCCAAGGGTGCCATGCCTCTCTTCCCGGTTTGCATTGGCCCTGCCTGGACAGTTCATATTAACTTGAGGTGCTAAGCACCCCGGCTGGCTTCCCAGGGCCTCTCAGAAAGGAGGGATGCTGACTCACTGCCTGTGTGGTTGCCACGTGTCCCCACAGCTCACAGGCAGCAACAGCCAGTGGGTGGCCTCCCCGGTAAGCAGGAGGGCCCTTTCTTCAGGCAAGGAAGGGGAGACGTGGCTGGTTCTCAGTGTCTCCCCCAGAGGAGGAAGGGTGGAGATGCATTAGCAATGGAAGGAGAAGGAAGTTCCAAGCAGCTGGGCAAAAATTTTCCCTGATTAGCTCCACCGCTGCCCCCTCTGCCTTCTGCATCTCCAACTTGCTTGCAAGGGGAGATGGAGGTGCTGTCAAATGAAGATTTGTAAAAAGCACACTGCCACAAACAAGGATGGAATAAAGGCTACCTGTCACATAACCTGCAGAACGCTAGGCCCCTCCAACAAGTCCCAGCAGTTCCACAGCAAAGGCCAGGTCTCCTGCCTCTGCCCCACACCCACCCGCTAGTCCAAATTCACCTGTGCCCCACAGGCAGAGGCACCTGAGGCTTTCACCCACCCAAGCATGTTGGCAAACCTCTGGGTAAGGACAGAGAAACCTGCCTTGGCACACCCTGCTTTCTGCCCCTGTGTGCCTCCCAACAAAAATAAAATGAAGTATATGCAATTGACATTGCAGAAACTGGCAGCTACAGACTTGGTACCCACGTGGCAATAGTAAGAGGGAACACAGAGCCTCTGGATTTTAGTTACGTTATTCTGGATGGAAGTGCTCAAGCCCAGAGAAAGTTTGCCTGCTGCCTTTCTTGGTGCCTTTAAACCTGACAAGAGCGTGGCAATGCTGAGACAGATGCGGGCACAGGTTTATCCACCCACTCCCTGATGCCCCAAGAAGCTTTGACATCTCACTGAGTCCCAAGAAAGCCACTCTCCACCCCTGAACTGTCGGTACTAGGGAGGTGGAAACGAGGCAGGGAGAGCGGAGGGAGGCAGGAGGCCGGAAGCCCCAGCAGCAGCAGATCCAGCCCCCGCCGCAGCCCTGAAGTGAAGCCCTAGAGGCTGGAACGCAGCTGCTTCTGCTAAGCTGCAACACGCCTGGGTTCTACATGCTTGGAGCACTGGCTGATCCCGCCTTCTGATTCACACTACAGTGACACCCACAGCTTAGGCAAGAAGTGCGATCACCCAGGACCCAGCACCCTGGGCAAAAACTTGGGAGAGTACAAACTCAGATGTGCAAATAAATAGGGTGACTGCCTGACCCACTTTCTGCCCCGGAGAAGAGGAATACCTTGAGTAGGGAAGCCTTGCTCCCGCTGGACCACATTTGCTTCTCCTGGGAGTCGCCGCTTCCCACCGCTGTCACACGCTGTTTCAACACAGCAGAACTAACCCTCTGGGCCACTGACACCCCTCACAGGCCAGCGCCTAGTGGACAAGGCCCCAGCCTGGGTGAGCTATACAGGGAGCCCAGACCCTGCTGCCCCTCTGCAGAACCCCAGTTGCAATAGTGGGTTAAAGTTCAGAAACAGCCTGGTGAAAACCTCCATGGTTATCACCCCAGCAGAAGAGAACACATTTTACAATACCTCTGAGTGGTCCTTCCAACAGCCTCACTAATTAAGGCCCTAACCAGTCTTTCTGGTACTGATCACTAATTACAATGGGATTAACGGAATTTTAGTATTTTTTCCAAAATAAACAATGAACCTACTGCTTTATTTTTCAATCTGCTGTTTCAACAACCAGCTTATTTTTAGTAAAATAAACCACCAGTCTTCCAAGGGGTGTTTTCAGAGGTAAGGCTGAGGAGCTTCTCCTTTCCAGATGCTCAGAGAATCAGGGCTTGGGATCCACCAAGCAGACCCAGAGCACGCTGATTCAGTGAGTGAGCCCTGAGCCCCAGGGTCTGGCAAGGAGGGCACGGGTGCAGGGCTCTTCCGGGGAAACCAAATTTTGTCCTCCAATCAAAATGTTCAGCTGGACCCAGAATCTCCCCCTGAGGGGCAACTGTTGGTAGGTTTAAGGGATTTAGACTGTGGGGGAGAGGATGTAAAAATGGAGCCCCAGCCTAATGAGCTTACTGTGGAGTTGGGAAGTCAAGAGCAAACCACAGATTAGTTCACAGAACTACAGAGCCACCTGACCCAGAACATCTCCAGTACCATCATTGTTTAGGTGGAACATGAGAAATTTAGGTTTTAAAAGGAGGGGTAGGTAGGAGACGAGCCCAGAGGCCTGTGGGTTTGGAAAGGGATCATGGGAGAAAGGCCTCAAGTAGGATTGGATAGGAATGGAAAACAGCTGTTGTTCCTCAGGACTCCATCCTGCCGTCGTCATGTACTCTCTCCGCACACTCCCCTGGGTGATCTCACCCACAGCTTCAACTATCACCTCAGTGCGGTGACTCACGAATCTTCACATCAGCCTGGTCCTTTCCCAGTTCCAGATTGCAAAGATCTGTGCGATCATTTCCCCGCTGTCCCAACTAGTAACTCCGCCCCTGCCTGCTCTGGCTCTTCCCTTAGCACCAACCCCCCCACCCCCACCTCTGCGCCCACCAAGGGAGCTGTCCCACCCGGACCACAGGGACCCACCGGCCTACTCCTGCCCCTCCCAGGAGGCCTGCGCCAGCCTGAGCCACTTCCTTCTAATGGACTCACAAGCCCGCCCCTGCTCTCCACACAGGGGAGATGGTGCCTTTGTCTCACGTCCTTCTTATTTCTGCAGCCTTTACCTGGTCTCCCAGACTCTAGTCTTGTGCCCTCTGATGTTTCATGGCAGGTGGTCCTACAGCTGAAGCTTTCCTCGCCGACTCCTGGAGCCCTCCCTCCAGAGCATGACCATAAACACAGACCTGGGCTTTGCCCCAGGGTACTGAACTTTAGGGCACAGGTTTTTAAATAATGATTTTTAAAGCTTAAAGCATACTTAGCCTGACTAGTTAGCTACAAGAGAAACTGTCAGCTAGTGCATATAGTCAATGACACCCACCGGTAGGCCACCAATAAACACCCCCAGCTGACTGTGGTGCTGGTCTCCATTACCTGCCTCTGCTTCTGAGTGGCTAGTTTGGCCCAGGCATGTGAGACTTTCAAGACTAGGCCCATTTACCTTCCAGTCTCCAGGTGTCCTGAATTCCACCCAGTTTGGGAACCCCCCACTTGAGGGGCCCCACGTGAGGGTGCCTGAATGGGCCAAGGCTCTCTCCCAACTCCATGCCTATGCATGGAAAACACTTACCTCTCGGATTTCCCAGGTGACTCAGTGATTCTCAGTCAGGGGCAATTTTTTCCCCCAGGGGACATTTGGTTACATCTGGGGGCATTTTTTATTGATAGAACCTGGAGAGAGGAAGGCTGCTATCAGTGTGGGTAGAGATCAAGGACCTGCTTCATGTCTGACAGAGCACAGGACAGGCCCCAGGACAATGGATGGTCTGCTCCTACATGTCAGCATTTCCAAAGACGAGAACCCCTGGTCTAGATTCAGCTCAGCCCTCACTCAGCCAGCTCCCCAGCGGCTCTCCTTTCCTCCACGGAAGAGGGAAAACAATCCCTCTGCATCGGGTCCAAACCTCTACAGCAGTGATTATCACCTTGCCCATGACAGGCTACTCCTCAATCTCTTCCCCAAGTTTCCTGAAGACAAAGCATTTGTCTTCTTCTCTTTATGCCACTGGAACATGGTGCAGAGCAAGGCCTCAGGGACTGATACGTAAAGAGAAAAGTATCTGAGTCGGACCCAGGCCAGGAAGTATGGTACAATGCACTGAGAATAATGTCTCCCCCACCTCAGGATTCACACAGCTTCCTATTTACATTACCATTAGTGGCATTTTAACATATGAAGATCACAATGTGCTAAGTAACACAGGGAACACAGATCTTAGGCATGGGTTGTTTGCTTCAGCTTACACAATAAAATTTGCTTTCAAGCCAGTCCATTAAGGTCACAAGAGTCTTTCAAATACCAACAATTGTTCTCAACCAATCGCAAAAAAGTATACATGCACTTTCAGCACATGTAGTGCCTTGCAAAAAGTGAGGAAATAGAGGAACAAATGCTCAGAGAGATTATAAAAAAGAAAGAGCCCTCAGAACCTCAGGAGTTATTAGGCTCCCTCTTGGCCACGAAGCAGTGAAAATTTAGGAATAAAACATCTGGAAGGAAAAAGGCAAAACCTCCCCAAAAGTAAAGCATCCTCCATGCAGCTAACATAATCACCACATTCCAGAAGGCCGATGAAAGCCAGTTGATAAGAAAGCAAATGCATAAAAAAGTGAAAAAAAAACATTTTTAAGAGATGCTTTGGTCCCACCCACCCAACTCAACCAGGTGTCTTCTCGATGCCACCAAAAGGATGCTCAGGATGCAGGTACCCTCCCTCACCACACACCCTCACGGTAAGGAAATACAGATAGATATTAGGATCAAAAGTTAAGTCAAGGGGGTATAAGAAAAACAGATTCAACACCAAAGAAGCTAATCAGAGGCCATGAACCCTTCCTTTTTAACAAGTAGATTACCTGTTACACTGCAAAGGTCTCAAGAGGTCCAAGCTAAAAGCAGGTGTGTTGAGAGCCTCAAGGTCACTGCCGACCCCCAGCAGCCCACACGGGAGCCACACAGGGGGCCCATGAGCGGGACCACACGTTCTCATCCCTGAGGAATGCAGCTCATCGCAGGACTCTGCTCAGATGATGATCACTACAGGTCACCAGGGGTCCCTTTAAGAAGAATACATGTGTTAGCAAGAGATTAATGTTGTACTGATAGTTGTGTTTGATACAGTATTAGGAAAACCATAAGAGATGATAATATCCCCTGAAGATCAAGATCATAAATGAGCAGGGCTGACCTGGAGCATCAGGGCTGCACATACACACAGACTGGAGAGCAGGTATGACATCCAGTGTGGTCGCAGGTCCTGGCACACAGCAGTGGCTGGTAGAGAAAGGCTGCCCCTGGTCCTTCTCCCTGGCACACCCAGGATTTGTGTTTGTTCCCCACGAACCTTCAGTCCTCTCCCGCTGGCTTCTAAGCTATCTTGTCAGAGAAGAGAAGGGGCACCTTTAGGAGCTGGGCCTTCCCGGAGTGCGCCCTGACAGGCTCAGTCACTCATCAGCTAAGCTGTCCTTGAGGCACCTCTGGTCCAGTAGGGGAGTCAGCTGCTTAACTGGACCATTTAAACCTACCGTAGTGAATGCTGGCGAGGAGACTCAACTGGAGCAGAGAGGAGGGTCAACATAGAGACTGCTGTTCTGCTTGTCACTGGCAGGCATCACAGCAATCACACTTCAAAAGCCTCTCAGCAACACGTGGAGTAAATGCTCCCTCCCTCCACCCCAGGAATTTAGTGGGAAGAGAAGAGCTGATACACCACTGCCTGTAAAACCTGATCAGAAAGCATCTATTCCATTCCAGAAAACACTTACTAAGCATCTTCTCTAGGCTACCCTCTGGATGTTTGCAGAATTTATGGAACTGTAAGTTAAAGAAAAATTACATACTTATTTCATTTCAAGTGCAAAGAGGAAAAACTCAAATTAAGGGAGAATTTTCCCTAATCAGCTCAACAAACTCTTGTGGAATAAATCAAGATGTAGATTTTGTTACTGGGTATTTAAATGCCATATCATATCTGGGTGTAAGGCCATAGGTGTGGAGCTCATTTACGAGAAAGACAGGCTCACTTTCAACAGAGCACAAGGAGTTTGGTTTATCTTTGATCAAATACTTCTATGTATTAAACCTCCAAAACCCACAGCTGTCATACTTCCTATCTGACTGAAAGGGAAAACATGAAGAAAATACATCTTTATATGGCACGTAATGGCCCGTGTGTCATTGTTCTGGTAGAATGTGCACTGTATTTATGGCTGCCAGTGAGCACCTGAAGGTGCTCAATAAACCACTACACCCATTAGGAAGATGCCTACCATGGTAAGAGGGTAAAATGGTTCACTGCTGTGGAAGACAGTCTGAATCTTCCTCAAGAAGTTAATCATAGACTTACCATATGACCCAGCAGTTCCACAACTGGGTATATGCCCAAAAGAAATGAGAGCAGGGACTCAGATATTTGTACACCAACATTCATAGCAGCATTATTCACAAGAGTCAAAAGGTGGAAACAACCCAAGTGCCCAGGTGTAATGTTTGTCCTTCCGAGAAGGCAACAAAATGTGATGCATCCATACAATGGAATATTATTCAGCCTTAAAAAGGAAGGAAATCCCAACACAGGCTTCAACATGGGTGAACCTTGAGGACATTACCCTCAGGGAAATAAGCCAAACACAGAAGGACAAATATTGTCCTTTTCCCACTGATATGAGGTCCCCAGAGTAGTCAGATTCTTAGAGACAGAAAGGAGAATGGGGGTTGCCAGGGGCTAGGGGGTGTGGGGAGTTAGTGTTCAGTTTGGGAAGATGAAAAAAGTTCTGGAGACAGATGGTGGTGATGTTTGCACAACAGTGTGAATGTACTTCAGGCCTCTGAGCTGTACACTTAAAAACGGTTAAGATGGTAAATCTAATATATGTATATTTTACCACCATTTTTTTAAAGAAAGGAAAAGTGGTGCCTACCCTAAGGACAATCCTCCCATTGAGAGCAACCCACCAAACCCTTAATGCCTGTGACTGGCCCTGATCATTGCCACTCAGAGATCAAGTTGATGCTCAAAAACTTTGGAGGATGGGAGCTTACCCTACCTGAACAAGATTAACATATTTTTAAAGGAAAAGAAAAGACCAGTGGTCATTTTCCACTGCTGACGTAGTGACCCCTAGGGTGTCAACATAAAAGCAGATTGCATGAGTGCCTAGAGTACATCACTAGCAACACAAAGGGGATGTTTTCTTTCCAGCTTTCCAAAACCCTTCTGGATTAGGGTAACATGAGACAGTCCCTCTCAACTCCAACTGCTTACTTACTAAAATTCAGAGGGAGAGGGAGGGTTTTGGTGTAGGAGTGGAAGAAAGGAGTAGGGAGCAAAGAGAAGGAGAGGAAAGGACAGTAAACGCATATAAACCATCAAGAACAACAAATTGGTACCAGTGTGTAGCAATTGTGTCCATGACTTACCAGTCCAAGAAGTTAGGGTTACAGGGAGGAAGGAGGGAACTCATGTTTCTGAGAATTCTTTCCACAAAATCATAGCCTCTTATCTTGAACCAGCATTTTACACCATTTATCATGGCAGGCAGGCAGGGAGGGAGGGAGGGTAAAGGAGGAAAGGAGAGAGGAAAGAGAGAGAGAGAAAGAAAGAAAGGAAATTCAACATGCAGGGGAGGGGGAGATTTCAGGGTAAAAAGTGTAAGGAGTTTCTTCAAAGATTATCGTTTGTTCTGTGCGTTCAGCTGCTCTACTTAACTGTCTGACCCGCCCACCTGCCTCTCCGAAAGCAGAGCAGCAGGAAGACACAAACCCATCCTCAACTCTTCATGACGGATGATGTGTGCGCCTTGTTAAAACAAATTTCTACACCCTGCTTGAAAGCATGGTGTTACCCCTTCAACCAAAAATTTAAATTAAAAAAAAGAAGATGCACAGAAAGCATTCTGCAAGTTTTTAATTGCTTTGTGAACATTGGTTTTCTTCTGTGTTAGTCCGCTCAGGCTGCCATAGAAAATACCACAGACTGGGCGGCCTGAACCGGCAGACACTGGCTTTCTCAGAGCTCGGGAAGTCCATGAGCAAGGTGCTGGCGGGGCGCGTTCCCAGTGACGCCTCTCCTCCTGGCTTGCAGACGGCCGCCTTCTTGCTCAGCTGCTCGCAGGGCCTCCCCTCTGTGCTCGTGCGGACCGGGAAAGAGACCTCTGAGGTCTCTTCCTCTTAAAAGGACATGAGTCCTGTCACGTTAAAGCCCACCCTTATGACCTCATTTAACCTTAATTATCTCCCTAAAAGCCCATCTCCAAATACAGACACACTGGGGGTTAGGGCTTCAACACATGAATTTGGCAGGGGACACTATTCAGTCCATAACAACTTGCTGCCCTCTGTGCCTAGAAGACTACAGTTTTCGAGCCATTTCTTGTACATTCTCATTTTTTAGTCCTCACAACAAATCTGGAGACAGGCAAAGAAGGCGGTGCCCCCATTGTCCAAAGGAGGAATCTGGGGGTCAGGGTTCCACAACTCCCCCAGGGGCATGAAACTGGTAAGCAGCAGAGCTAGAAGTCAAGTCTGTGGCCATGGGACTCTGGGGTCCTTAAAAAAAATAAAAAATTTTACTACTTCAATTAAAAGCACATAGATTTAGTGCTTGCTATGATACTTTGTTGGGGGAAGTCCAAAAACGAGAGGCCCCACATGGAGTGAAAAGCATGAGGCCTTGGGAGTCAGAAACATGGGTGCATACATACGTGTGCGTGCCCAGGACATATCTCACTCTCCTGCCCATTCATCTTTGTTGGTATACCACTCAACCCTCTGGACCTAATGTAAGTAACCCCTTCTCCCCCAAAGCCTTGCAGCCCACAAGGAACTTGCCCTCCTCTGAGATGTTGGTCTCCATCACTCTTTGTGAAAACAAACCCAGCCTAGTAAGTGATGCCAATTTTCATGTATTTACACCCTATTTCCCCAGCCTCAGCCATTCCTGACGTATGTAAGTCCCATTTCACTCTGCAGCTTGCCCTACCACAACAGTACCAGATTTGTTTTTATGAAGTTTCCCTGAATCTCTGATATCTGCCAAGAAGGAATTATTTTATTGATAACAGCCTAAAACTCAGTGACATTACAATGTCCTTCTCTCAAGGTTGAAAAAACATGAAACAAAGAGCTATAAATCCCTGCTGTCCCTGAGTCAGGACACCACACTCTCCATGGCCCAGGGCGTGCACTCCTGTGTGAGAAGGGTAGAGAGTAGTGCTTGTCTGTGGTTGTGCCCTCTTCTAGGAGGTTTCCATAATAAAGAGTTCCTGTGAGCTGGCACTTCCTGAGCATGCGGAGATGAGGAAATCTGCCTTCCCCTGGCACAGTATTGTGTCACCATATACATTCTAGGAGCAAAGTGATCTGACAACGTGTTAATTTCCAGACATGAATACCTGGCCTCGGCAGGGAGGTAAGCCCTGTGCACTTCATTCTGACCTATACCAAACCCTGAAGCATCAAAAACACAGATACACAGCTCACTGATTCTAGAGGTGGGCACACTCTATGAAAGCTGTACTCAAACAGTTCATCTCCTTTGGGTTCATGAATAAATGCACTTTGAGATAACAAGAGCATTGCTTGTACCTAAATGAAAAAGTTTCTTCTGATGAAAACAGGTTGTGTTTTCAAAGTTGCTTTCATGTTTTAACAAACTGTCCTGGGTTGCGTACAACCAGCCATGGAGTTGCAGGAAGCAGGACTCTCAGTGTTAAAACTGAGTCATGGGCAAACCAATGACCACCGTGCTAAATTATGTAAGGCTGGGAACCCATTATGAAATGTATCACCTTTGTGGGAGGACATTTCTTTTTCATTATTTCATTTTTCTGTACTCATTCCTACGTTCATCCTAAAATAGAGACACTAACACTAGTTCCATAGTTCTGAGTTAAAGCATTGAATATTTGTGCGAGTGTACAGTCAGTACTTCACAGCGTGAGGAAGGGAGGTGGGCAGGTGTGGTGAATAAGGGTGCAGTTGGCTGTTCCCAGCATTCATAACTTGGCACCTATGTAGTTTCAGTTTGAAAAGTGTTCATGCCAAGAGGGTGTGTGATATGATGAATAATGAGGGAGAGGCTGAGCTCAGGGTCTGGGACACAAAGCCGGGCTCAGGGACACACAGACAAGTTTCAGTATTAAGGTAGGAGATTGGGGTCCATGTGGAGAATCGGAAGCAAGGTGGTCTTAGGCGGTGCATGGAGACGGTGTATACAGCCAAGGACAGTGAACAGAGGTGCAAGCCAGGCAGTGGGGACAGGACCGCCCTGGTCAGAGTAGACAGTATCTGGAGCGCAGACACCCAGTCTGCCCCAGAAGGTACAGTCCAGGAGCAATTCCAGCCATCTGGACCATGGCTGAGTAACTAGAAATAAGAAGGAGAAAAAAAATGCCTCAGAGGAGCCAAAACCAACACCACAGTCCCTCATGAAAGAGCTGCTCCTGGGGCCCCCTCAGAGTCGGCCCTCAGCTGTTTGACGGCCGTGTTCCGTTGCATCGTGGGAGCCGAGAGTCAGCAAGAGGATCCACACGCAGGGCAGTGTGGGCAGCGCTCAGTCTGATGGCCACAGAGGAACAAAAGCAAGAAAAAGAACAGGGCATCTGGGGCCATGGACCGTGAGTAGCACCTGGACCTGAGGGTCCATGGTTAGAGCCCCAGGAGGGCGAGGCCGTCACACTGAGGCCGCTTTCCTGGATTCTCAAGGTCCCTCGTGCACGCACTCCTTGTACTTGGGGAAAGAACAAGTGAACTGTGGTACTCTACAATGGAATATTTCTCAGCTATAGAAAAGTTTTGCTAAGCAGAACAATCTCAAAAACATTACGATATGGAGAAAATGGAGGCACAGAAGAGTCCATACTGTGTGATTCCATTTATAAGAAAATCTAGAATCAGTGATGATAGAAATCAAAAAGCAGGTCATTCTTGGGGCAGGGGAATTTGAAGGGACTCTGAGGTCCTGGAACATTCTGTCTCACTTGGGGTGGTGGTTACACAGGTGCATACCAATTGACAAATATATCAAACTAAACACTTAAGACCCATGCATTTTATTGGATATAATAATTGTACATCATTTAAAAAGTGAGAATGTTTGATACCTTGATCTGAATGGTTACATCAGTATATACTCATGTCAAAATTCATCAAGCTATACACTAAGATTTGCATATTTTGTTTTATGTACCTCAATAGAAAATAAATTCAAAAATTTCTTTAATAGAAAATATACTTATTGATGGCATTTCTTTCTGATTCAAAAGTAACACACATCATGTCAATTATCTGTTTAAAATTTTAAAAATCAAAGTAGGTTTTAAAAAACAATATAATCACTCAAGATTTTATACACAGACCCTTAGTATATCTCGTCAGCCCCTCTTGTGTACCTGGCATTGAGCTGGTCATTGGGAATACAAAATGAGCACATATTATCCCTGCCCTCACACCCCTGACAGATGCATGTCCAGGTGCTGGCAGTATAGTGTGATACGGAGTAAGGGACAGATTGGGAAGGGAGTAGATGGGGATCTGGGAAGACTCTGTAGTACCTTCTTTGGAGCCAAGACTTGGAGAGGGTGGGGGAAGGCAAGATGGAGAATTCCAGGCAGAAATAGCATATGCAAAGAGGAGGCGGCACACGGGGGACTTTCTTTAAGGAACGGAGCAGCTAATACACAGGGTACAGGAAAAAAATGAGAGGTGAACTCAGGCAGACAGAATGGGGCCAGACAGCAAAAGTCTTTTGGACTTCATCCTGTGGCCAACGGAACAAGCCCCAGGAGGTTTTATGAGGGTTTCAAGCAAGAGAATGAATGCTCAGCATTGCTGTATCAATGGATAACTCTGCAGCAATGTGGAGGATGGCCTGGCGGGGAAGACGGTGGGGCCAAGAGACCAGTTACCCTGCGTAGGGTGGCAGGTGTTAACTAGACTTAGTGTGGTGACCATTTCAGTGTATGCAAATACTGATTGTTATGCTGCACACCTGAAATCAATATAGTACATGTTAATTGGCCTCAATTTTTAAAACAAATTAAAGATAAAAAATTAAAAACAAAGGTTCCTTTTCTCAATATACCAATTAACAGGTTTTGTAAATTTAATTATAAAATAAAATGTCATTAACAGAGACACACCAGTTAACATGGCTGTGAAATCCAGCAGAGACCACCAAGGAGCCCACTAAGGCGCCGGTCAGAGCCATGGAGCTTTGCTGGGGAAGAGCAGTCCATAGGAGTCGGTAATGCTGAGCACGAGGGAAACTGAGGAGCTGGAGGCGATCTCAAGACATCTGGCTAGGGGCTCCGGCCCAGAGATGACTTCCTCACCGAGATCACCACTAGGGCAGAAAGGCAAGTGCGGGGGAGCGAGGGATTGGCGCCTGCTGCATGTGCCCTGTTGGCATGTGGGGAGAACCGTCTGCAGTGCAGAAGAGACCAGACGCAAAGTCCAGCCTGAACACACACTGCTGATGTGGGCGGTGTAAGTCTGGGCAAATTACAGAGCCACTGAGACGTGTGGAACTGAGCAGCGCACCTGTCTGTCCGCCGGTAAGGTTAGCAAGGAGGCCGTCGGCTTGGGGTCAGGAGACCTGGGGTCCCACCGCAGCACTCTCATGAGGAGGGAAACCGAGCTCACTGGGGAGGAAGGGAAGAGAGAAGGAGGCGTCAGCCAGGAGGGGGGTGCTCCTCCTACTTCCTGCTTCACCTAGAGCCACCCTTCCGCCTGATCCGGGACACCTCTCATCACACACAGGGCTACCCAGCCTGCCCCTGGAGGCCCGTGGGGGTGGGACAACCCTGACACCATAGAAAGCTTTACACAGCCATGTGGTAAGTGCAGGGGTTAGTGTCTTTGCACGAGATTAGCTGTAGAGTTCTGGGACCTACTGCAAAATGAAAATGCAGGGGCACGAATGCAATGGCAGCGATTGCATGCCCGCGGGCCTGGATGGTTTAATCTCTCCAAAATTTAAAAAAATCTCCTCTGTGATGTGAAGATAATAGTACTTAATCCATGATGTTCTTAGGAACAGCGTAAGTGATAATGTGTGTGAGCTGAGCCGTGCTCGTGGTTAAGTGCTCAGGACCTAGTAGGTCTCTTGAGGCCGCTGCTCAAGTCCATTTGCCCTCAGAGTCAGAGGTCTCTGCTCAGCAGCCTTCCTGCAGTTACCCAACATCTACCTTAGGAAACAGAGGGTGGTAGTGCTGCCTTATCTGGGGAAAAATGTTTTCAGACTGGCACTCATTAAATGACATGCCTCAGACACTCTTAGCAAATACAGCAGCAAAAACAGGAAACAGGGTAATGCTAAAGGAAGCCTCCTGCCCCTAGGAGCCACCTTCCACTTGTCATGTCTCATTGCCCACACACCGTATTGCCAGGCCCTTGTATCTAGTGCTACAAACAACACACTCTACCAGAAACCCTGCACTGGTACAGAAATGAGGAGTCCATTTACTGAAAAGATCAGACAGATGTTCTACCTCACAGATTTGTCAATTTCCTCCACTGAATGCTTATTAATCCCTATGCAACTAGGGCCATTGGGATGAAAGAATTAAAGAAACCTGTGTCCTGTTTTTGTTTCTGTTCTATGTTTAGCATCTAGAAGCTTTATTGTTTTATCTGTAACATTTGGGATACCTGGAACCGATTTTTGTGTACAGTGAAGTAGGGGGTCTAAATTACATTCTTTCCATACAGATATCCTGCAGACCCAGCACTGTTTATTGAAAAGACAATCCTTTTTCTGCACAGGAAGCCCATTACAATTGCATCAAGGGTTTGATGTGCTACTTTATTTTTCTCCTGTGCTATCTTCTAGGAGTTTTATAGTTTTGCATTTCACCCTTAGGTCTGTGATCCACTTTGAGCTAAATTTTGGGAATAGTATAAGGTCTATGTCCAGATTCTTTTTCTTTGGTATGTAGATGTTCAGTTGTTTCAGCACCATTTGTTGAAATATATGTTAAAACGAACATATATTTATGAAAATAAGAAATGCTTACTCTGCAGGACACCACCTCACATCATCTTCCATTCCCCCCTTTGGGAAATCCCGCAGTGGGAGGCTTAGATCACAGCAGCAGATAAGGGAAGGTTTTCTGTAGTAGTGAGGTTATTTTTTTTAATCTTTTAAGAATTTGTTATATAAGAAGTTCATATTTGTTTTAGATAGAAAAGAATTTACAGGTAACTACAAAGAAGTAAATAAAAGTCACTTATAATCCTCATACACAGAGGTAAGCACTATTACCATTTTGGTGCAGTGGCTTTCCCCCATACACATATATACATTGTATCTTATAAAAAATGGGGTAATAAATTAATACTGTTTGTTCTCTTAATTTTTACTTAATATGTCCTTAATAGCTCTTCATGTCAATAAATCATATTTTTATGTAATCATCTTAATGGATGTGATGCACAATATGCTAACTGGCCCCCACTTCCTTCTCCATCCTAAACACAGACTTGATCCCCATTTCAAAGCCTCTGCCTTCCAGACTCCTATTTTAAAGATACCCACCACCATGGCTTAAGAAATAAAACCAAAGTCCGCTTTGCTCCCCTTCCAAATTCCATTTCCTTTTCTGCCCGTGGGTAACTGTTACTCTAGAGTTAGTGCTTCCCATTTCTCATGCAGGAATATATTTCCATGACTGTATCCAAATGTATCCATTAACAATTTACAGTATTGCTTTGTTGGCTTTAAATCATACACACACACATGTATAATGATATTCACTATATACATTGTTCTGCAGGTTGCTTTCTTCACTCAGAACGATGCTTCTAAGTTTTATCCATGTTGTTGTATGTAGCTTTCATGTATTCATTTTTAGCTACTGCCTGCTGTTCCACTACATGAGTACACCACAATGACTCATCCATTTCCTACTGATAGTAAAAGTAAAGAATGATGCTATCTTCTTGTGTAATCAGTAAGTATTTCTTTAGAGTTCATACCCAGGACCAGAAATGCAGAGTTGAAGGGTATATTTATCTTTCTTAAAAATTCAATTTATTTAAACAAAAACAGGTCATCCATTTCTCTCTACTCCCTACCCCTCTAACCACCACCAATCTGTTCTCTGTATCTATGAACTTAGTTTTATTTTTTTTCTAGATCCCATATATAAGAGAGGTCATATAGTATTTATCTTTCACTACTGACTTATCTTACTTACCATAATGCCCTCAACATCCATCCATGTTGTAGCAAATGACAAGAACTCATTCTTTTTTATGGCTGAATAATATTCCATTGTGAATACATATGCCACCTTTATCCATTCATCGTACAGTAGACACTCAGATTGTTTCCATATCTTGGTTATTGTAAATACTGTTGCAGTGAATGTGGGGGTGTAGATATCTTTTCAAGTCAGCATTTTTTTCTTCAGACAAATAATCCAAAGTGGAATTGTTAGATCATATGCAATTTCTATTTTTAATTTTTTGAGAAACGTCCATATTGCTTTTCACAGTGGCTGAACCAAATTACATTCCCACAGTGCACAAGTGTTCCCTTCTCTCCACATCCTTGCCAATGCCTGTTATTTCTAGTATTTTTGATAGCAGCCATTCTAACAGGTATGAGGTGGTATCTCATGGTGGTTTGGATTTGCATTTTTCTGATGATTAATGATGTAGAACATCTTTTCATGTGCCTGATGGTCATCTGTATGTCTTCTATGGAAATGTCTGTTCAAATCTTCTGCCCATTTTTTAAACCAGTTTTTTTTTGCTATTGCGTTGTGTGAGTTTTTTATTTTGGATGTTGGCCCCTTATAATATATGATTTGCAGTTATCTTCTCCTATTCAGTAAGTTGGCTTTTCATTCTGTTGATGATTTCCTTTGCTGTGTAGAAGCTTTTTACTTGGTGCAGTCCCATTTATTTTTACTTTTGTTGCTTTTGCATTGGATTTTACTGACACGAAAAAAAAAAAATTTACAGATGTTACTTTTGATGTCAGGTTTTAAGAGATGCTTTTGCTTTCGGTGTTGCCTGACCTATGTCAAGGAGCTTACCACCTATGTTTTCTGCTAGGAGTTCTAGGGTTTCAGGTTTTCAGGTCTTACATTCAAGTGTTTCATCCATTTTGAGTTCATTTTTATGAATGGTGTAAGATAGGAGTTCGTTCTTTACATGTGGCTGCCCAATTTTCCCAATATCACCAATTGAAGAGACTGTTCTTTCCCCTTTGTGTATTCTTGATTCCTTTGTGGTAAATTAATTGACCATATATGTGTGGGCTTATTTCTGGGCTCTCTATTTGTTCCATTGATCTATGTATGTTTTTATGCCAATACTACTCTTTTAATTACTGTAGTTTGTAATATGATTTGAAATCAGGGAGCCTCTAATAATTATAATGCCTCCAGCTTTGTTCTTCTTTCTCAGGTTTGCTTTAGCTATTCAGGTTCCATACAAATATTTTTATGGTTCCATACAAATTTTAGGATTATTTGTTCTATTTCTGCAAAAATATGCCATTAGAATTTTGATAGGGATTGCACTGAATCTGTATATTGCTTTGAGGAGTATGGACATTTTAACAATATTAATTCTTCCAATCCATGAGCACAGAATATCTTTCCACTTATTTGTGTCTTCAGAGTCCTTCCTCAGTGTCTCACAGTTTTCAGTGTGCAGGTCTTCCACCTCCTTGGTTAAATTTATTCCTAGGTATTTTGTTCTTTTAATACATGGTCAATGGGACTGTCTTCATTCCTCTTTCTGGAAGTTTATTGTTAGTATATAGAAGCACAACAGATTTTTGCATGTGAAAGTTCACTATTAGTATAGAGATACACAACAGACTTTTGCATATTGATTTTATATTCTGCAACTGTATTGAATTTATTAGTTCTAACAATTTATTGATGAAGTCTTTAGGTTATTATACATATCCTATCGTAACCTACAAATAGTGGTAGTTTTCCCTTTTCCTTTTCAACTTAGATGCCTTTTATTTCTTGTCTTGCCTAACTGCTCTGGCAAGGACTTCTAATACTATGTCAAAGAAAAGTGGTGAGGGTGAGCATCGTTGTCTTGTTCCTGATCCTAGAGGAAAAGCTTTCAGCTTTCCATCATTGAGTATGAGCTTAGCTATGGGTTTGTCATATGTGGCCTTTATTATACTGAGGTACATGCCCTCTATACCCACTTTGTTGAGAGTTTTTATCACAAATGGATGTTGAATTTTGTCAAATGCTTTTTCTGCATCTATTGAGATGATCATATGATTTTTATCCTTCAGTTTTTTAATGCGGTGTATGACAATGACTGATTTGTGAATGTTGAGCCATCCTTGTATCCCTGGAAGAAATTCTGCTTGATCCTGGTGTATGATCCTTTTAATGTATTGTTGAACTCAGTTTGCTAATATTTTGTTAAGTTCTTAAGTAATGGGCAGATGTGTAAAGATTTTAAAGGCTTTTTTTCCCTGAATGTCTTGATTTCTAAGTTGTAAGACTCATTCCAAAGCATGCTAGGATCCCTAGGCCAGTAGGGAAGGTGACCAAGCTGGGATATGCCAGGAAAGGGTCAAAATCAATCCACCCATAATACTCTCACAGAAAAAGATGCTCACCAGTATAATACACAAGACCCTAAGCTAAGAGAGGTAGCAGACTGGCTTGTACTCAGTCCATAGAAATACCCCAAATGGCACAAGATTAAATTTAGGGTGCATCTGTTGACCTCTAGAGTCAAAAGCTTTGTTTATACACACACTTTATAATGATCAGGTCAATCCAAAAACCAACTGTCAAATGACTTGTTTGTGAGATGAAGCAAGTCTGTGAGTTTCCCAGTCCTCTGGTCAGATAAACTGACCTGAACCTTGTAGATATCATAATTTCATTGATACCTCCTACGGCAGAGCTCTCTTATAGGGCAGGGCCCCACACTGTGGAGAAACTTCTGGAAGTGGAGTCAAAACTGAGATGGATAGAGACAAAGGAAAGAGATGATCCACTTAAAAGTGAAGAAGGAGAATAGAGTCATTACATGGAAACAATAGAAGATTAAGATCAGAAATCAACCAGGCATCCTTCTAAAAGTTCAGGAGAAATAATTTTTAAAGTAAGCAGCAGAAATATATCAAGACCAAATCCCATGTGAAGTTATAAGAAAAAAGAGATTAAGAAGCTGAAAAACATCCCTACAGATCATGAAAAACCAGAAAGACATATGTAAAAAACAGATCAAAACTGTAAACCTTCTATTTGAAAAGAATAATAAAATAAAATGTAAAGGATTCAAGGTGTATAAGAACAACAGCATATATCAGAACCAAGAGAAACTCAGAAATGAGATGGCAGAACTCAGGAAATAACTATAGAAAAGAAACATTATCTCAAAAATGAGGAGAAAATTAGAATAAATAGACACAATAAATAGTACCTTAAGAAAAATAAAAAGTTTTAAAAAGGAAATTTTAAAGTAAAAAAGAAATGAAGAAAAACAAGAAGGATATGAAAGAAAACAAATATTGACAATTAGGAGAAAGATCCAACACATAGGATAATAAGAGACACTGAAAAGAAAACCAAAGGAGCAGAACACATACTACAGTTTATTTCAAAAACTATCCAAGAAAAGAAAAAGCTAACTGAAACTACATATTGAAAAAGCACATGCAGTAGCTAAAAATACAACCCAAAATAACTAACACCAATATATATTCTGGAAAAAAATTACCACAGATTAAAAAGCCCTTTGGGCATCTAGGCAAAAACAGTTAATAATATTTAAGATAAGAAAATCAAACTTCCATAAACTTCTGACAGCAAGACTTAATGCCAGGAAAAAAAAATAATAGTGTATTAAAATTCTCAAGGAAAGAAAATATGATCCAAGGAGTTTATATCCTGAAAAACTGATTTTAAGGGAAAAGGGTGCAAACTGTTAACATGCAGGAAATCAAGAATTCTGTTGTCATCCATAAGCCTTTTGAAGAATCTACTAGAAAACAAGCATCAGACACCAAAAAGGCCACAGAAACATTGACACAGGACTGGTGATGAGCATTAAACATACAGTTATTCATAGAACTAAGACTCGATAAGGTTTAAAATGGAGAAAATACAATATGCAATGACTATGTGTTCAGGTAAGTTAGATGTAGTACAACTATTTAGAAATGGGGAGAATAAGAACTGATAAAAAAGATGTTTAACAGTTCATAGTAATCCTGTTTGTGGGGGTAGTAGTTTGAGACTATAATGTGTTTAATATGAGATAAAAATAAGCAAGTAATTATAAATATTCTAATTATATCATCTCCTGTACTTACAGGTTTTCTTAGTACAAAAGAAAGGATTTATAGATTTAACATAGAAAAGGTTAAGTAAAAAACACCTATTCATGAAATTAAATTTTAAGCACTACTTATCAACCCAGGAAGGACTTTATCTTAACTTTTCCTTTATCTTAAAAGTAGGGTGTATATATATATATATCCTAAAATATATATATCCTAACTCTGTTTACTGAAGAGACCTAGAAATAATTTATGATATTTATGATCTTGAAAACTAATAAATGAAGGGAAAGAATCAAAAAGCAAACATTTATCCTGCCTTTCTATTGTGATCTGAACGACTGGGTAACCCAAAAGTAGAAAGGGGAGGAGTAACTGTATTAAATTATTCCAACTAAAAATTTTCAAAGAAATAGTAAAATTAAAACACACCATTTTGCAACTCCCAGTGAATGAACGGATCTAGGTAACAATTACCAATAGCTGCTATCATCACAAAAATAAAGGCAATGAGACATGTGCACCCTGGTGAAAGAACATTCCATAGGTGATGTGTCTGCAGGAGACATGCTCTGTTAGACTTTCTCACTACTGAGATACAAAATTTGATCACTTGGTCAAGGTAATGAATGCATAAAATTTTGATTTGGAAAAGATTGTTTTGAAAAATTAAAATTGAAAAGAAAAAGGACAAAGTTACCCAGAATCCACTGTGGCAAGGTGGCAGAACACAGAGAAGGGAGGCATCTAGCTTTCAGGGACTATTTGGCAGACGTTCTAGGAGCGGTGCCTCATGCCCAATGTTGGCAGCAGTCAGTTCTCTACTGGAACAGTCCAGCAATGTAATCAATGTAGTTCAGGCATGGTTTTCTAAGTAACACTTTCCTGGAAATTTTCTAAGCTACCTAATTGCTGTTACTAGAGATTTACCCCTAGAATGGAGTCTCTTGTTCATGACTAAAGGATCTGGAATCCAAAGGATTGATGTGTGTGTGTGTGCTTAAATTAATGAGTCTCCAAAATGCCATTAATTTCTCCAAATTAATTTTAAAAGCCTAGATTGGCTGACAAAAAGGAGCTATTTGCTTTGATCAGTGTTGGCCTCTGAAAGCCTTCAAGAAAATAAACAGAAGCTTGCCTTTCATAGAACCCTGGGTATTTGACAAGTGTTGGGAGTGTGTGTACAGTAATCTTTGGTTTTATATAAACCTGACAAGAGAGTGACAGTGACAAGTCTTTCTCAGAAAATTCTTAAAGAATCGTTTATTCTGGAAGCAATTAAGCCTGAAAGCATACTCAATGTTAATGTTTATTCAGCATTTACTTGTCTTTTCTGTACCACACTTTCTTGTACTTGCTGAAGATATTTTGCATATATATTGAGGGAAAACATAATAGTGTTCAAAAACACCCGCTACCCCTGCCTTGGGGGACTTTCTCTTCCCAGTCATGTCAGGCTGGGCCATGTGATTTGATTCTGCCAATGGAAGGTGGAAGGACTGTGGGTCATTCCCAGCTCTAAAAGCCAGTTTGGGCTTTACCAAGCTCTTTTTCCCCTGCCCTTGTGTTCCAGCTAGAAGCTTCTCAGTCAGCCTGAGATCCGGGGAAAGATGCACCCAGAGCAGAGCCACAGTTCACCCACAACAAACACAGAGCCTGACTATATGACAATGAAGTAGTGAGCCACGGAGATCTGGAACCCTCTTTATCACAGTGTAACCTAGCTTGTCTATTAATTGCTTATTAGTGCTCAGAGCTATTATGTTTAAAGCGCTGTTTATAAACCAGGCCCTTGCATTCATTCATCATTATGATGTAGATATTTAATTCTCCACTTTACAGATGAGGAGACCAGACCTGTTAAATCAAGAAGTTAAATTACTGCCACCTGACCAGAAACAGCGTTGAAATGGAGACCCAAGTCCCTTTCATGCCAGGGGTTCCTGTTCTTAATACTACTACCAAACTGAGGAAAGTCCCACCAGACCCAGCCATCTGCATCTGGCCTCCTGAGCATTTATGATATGGTCCCTGGGCTCACGGAAGAACTCAGCAAACACCTACAGACTGACTGGCAGCTCTAAACAACAGCTCCTGTGGGTCCGAATGAATGACTCACTATTTATTGAACACCAACTGACAAATTCCATTGGATAAAGTTGTCTAGGATCTCACACAGAACACAGAAAAAATGCGGACTGCAGCTTCAGGAATGACCTAATGAAGGAGAAAATGGGCCAAATACAAGACTTAGAAGCAGTGTTGGAAGAAGGCCCTGCAGCAGACAGAACCCCAGCCCTGGAGTCCAAGGGCCTGCATGCTGGTCTCTCCCACCACAGTGTGATGTCACCCATCATGTTTACCGCTCTGATTCTGTTTCCTCACATGAAAAGGTACTGATTAAACTGGTCCTGAGTGCCAAATTTAAAAATCCATGTAAATCCCTTCAAATTGTAGAATGCGTTGAAATGTCCAAGCATGGGACCTGGCTGGGCTGGTCAGGGAAGTGAGTCCGGAAAAGGTCTGGAAATATTCTTCATCCAGGGCAGTAATTCTCAGACTTCTGTGGCAGGTACTTGGAGATAATAGGATTTTTGATTTACTGAAATGTCTCCTTTACAGAATTATATAAAACACATTGTTTTTTAAAATTTTTAATTAAAACTTGCTGATTAAAAAACATAAAGTGCTAGAAAATTCTGAAAGATAAGGAATTGCTAAATTGAGGCATTTTACATACAATCTAAAATTCAGGAGCTCGTATAGGTGGACATGGTGAGAGGTAATTTTCTCTCTGTTGTCATGGAGAGGCATGTAATCATGAACATTTGAAATTAGAGCAAAGAGTAGGGTGAAGCCAGCCTAAAAAGGCTTCATGAACAGAACTAGACTTAGTGATCTCTGTTATTGAATTCCAGTTTTGAAAAGATCCTCAAGGGAAAGAAAAAGGCACTGATACATATGGAGTGCCCCCTATATGTCAGAAATGTTGCAGAAGTTATCTCTAATTTCACAGCAACTTGGCAAGGTCTGAAGAGGATTTGAGGGGATTGTATAACCCACCCAGGTCACACAGCTAGCAAGTGACAAAAGCAACTCAAATCCTTATCTGTCTGACCCCAAAGTTCAGTCTCTTTCTACTACAGCAGGAGTTGGCAAACTACAGCCCAGCCCACCACCTTTATTTTTGTACTACCTATGAGTCAAGAATGGTTTTTACATGTTTAAATGGTTAAAAAGAAGAAGAAAAAGATTTTGTGACATGTAAAGATGATGTGAAATTTAAATTTCAGTGGCCATAAATTAAGTTGTACAGGAGCAGAGCCACCTATTTACTTACATATTATCTATGGCTGCTTGCTTTTGTGCTCCCACAGCAGAGCTGAGTGGTTGTGACAGAAACCATATGGCCCCCAAAGTCTAAAATTTTTCTACCTGGCCCTTTACAGAAAAAAATTTGCCCACCCCCTGCTCTAGACCAGACAGCTTTGTAAGTAAGTGATCCAGCCTTCCCCTTGTGCAAATGAGGAAACATAAGGCCACAAAGATTGAATAAACGTGCTCCAAATTAGCAATATTGGAAGAGACATGGGCATCTCACCCACAGCATGGAGGCTGGGTCAAGGAGAGAGCTCAGGTGGGGAGGAACGGAGGATGTCACCCTCAGACCGCACCCTTCCTCCGTGAAACAATAATGAATGAGAACGTGGCTCAGCCACGTAATGATGTTGATAACAGATTAATGAGAAAGATGGTTTAAAAAATGATTTTTTAAAAGAAATTGCCTATGTATATGGTTGTGTGAAACTAGGTGTGAATACATACGTATCTCCATCCAAAAATAAAGCAAAGATTCGCATCAAATTTCTAACAGTAGTTATTTCTACTGAATGAGAAAGGGGGATGCTTTCATGACGTACACAATTACTTGTTTGAATCTTTTATCTTGAAAAGGTAATATATGCAAAAACCTCAAAATAAAATGAAAGCCTTATCATCTATAAAATAAACGGAGCCTAAAAGATTATTAAATATATCACTGTGGAAGTAACTAGGAAGAGCCCCTAAATGCTATTAGGTTGGTAAAACCCAAGTATGGCCTGTAAAGCAGCCAACTCTACAGTGCCAATATCAATTCCTTGGTTTTGATAGTGAACCATATTGTGCAAGATGTCCCTGTTCAGGGAGACTGGGTGATGAATACATGGGACCTCTATTTTTGCAAAGTCATGCTCATCTAGAATTAAAATATAAAGTTTAAATATCTGTTAGGTTGAACTATATGAGCGTGTCAGTACTGGGTTGTTTTTGGTCTCCTGTAGGAGCAATTTCATATAGCTAACTGTATCAAAGGAAAGCTTTAACATAATCAATTATACTTGAACCTGTCTGAAGAACTTTGGTGGCAGTTGTAGGGTGGTCTGTGCAGAGTCAGAGGACCCAGTAGCTTTGTGGGGCGGGAGGGTCACGAGGCTTTCTAAGAGGGGCCAGCTCCTGTGCCCTGAGCCAGGCCTCAGGAAGCAGCAAGCATACCCCACTCCACAGGAAGATGTGCACTTCTCAACATGCAGGTTTACAGACTGTCCCCCTAAAGGTCTCTCTCCCACTCATTGTTAACAGTTCTGGGTGAGTGGACAAATTAAGTTTCAGGCTCTACAAAGCCAAGAGTGGCCCTTGAGTGTGTGATAGTGACCAGCCACTCTCCCCCTGGGAGGAGCTGACTGCAGAGGAAACAGCTCAACTCTCTGTGATGTAGCTTCTGCGTGGTCAGCTCAGGCCAAAGACAAAGGTAGGCTAGTGGACCCCAGAGGGACCCACTGCAAGCAGTGGGACCTTCTAGCTACTGCTCCACACAACAAATGACCCTGCTGCTCGGGTAGCACTTCTCACGTGGCTAGGAAGTGCGGGCATATTTAGGCCAACGTAAAGGAGGGCATTCTCTGTTAGATAGTTTGACACAAATCTTGCAGACAATATAAACTCTGGGATTGGATGGAGGGATACATGACCCTAGACCAGTAGCCTAAACAGTAGAACACCGATAAAGTCCCTGAGAAAAATTATCTGATACATTGCTTTAGTGTCCAAAAGAACAAAAACATTAGTCTTAAAATGAAATAGGGTGCTTTTCCTTGACTTTTTCCCCTTACCAAGCTCTTTTCAATATTAAAAATACATATTTTAGAGAGCATTAAACAGGGGTGAGAGAGAAAGTTGACAAAGACCATATGGCGGACAGGCAGTTGGAAGTTCAGCAACGAAACCCTCTGAGTGAGGGGAGCCTGCTAGTGTGCAAAACACCATAGCATGGGGGGCTTAAACACCCGAAATGTGTTATTTCCCAGTTCTGGAGGCTGGATGGCCAAGCCTGAGGAGCTGGCAGAGTTGTTTCCTTCTGAGGGCTGAGGGAAAAGGGCCCAGGCCTCTCTCTCAGCTTATGGGGATTTGCTGGGCATCTTTGGTGTGTAAAAATATCACCCTGATCTGTGCTTCCATCTTCACATGACCTCTGAGTGGGTCTGTGTCCAAATTTCTCTTTTTAAAAGGACACTCCTCGTATTGGGTTAGGTCCCACCCTCCTCCAGGATGACCTCATCTTAACTAATCACACCTGCAATGGCCGTATTTCCAAATAAAGTCACATACTGAGAGACACTGGGAGTTAGAAACTCAACATACAAATCTGGGAGGAGGGCACATTTCAGTCGAGAACAGGAAGCAAAGGTCAGTATTCACACTGACACCCCAAAACTCCTTCTCTGATATTCACTCTGTTTGTGGTTGTCCCTAGCTATATGCCTTTCATCAAAGAGGAAGTGTATTAAAAGTAGACTATCTGAAGCCCTAGGGAAGCTGCCAAGGGAGAGAGAAAATTTGACAGAGAATCACGGAAATTAAATGATTTTGCGTAATAGAAGGTGTCCTGGACAGACATCAAAACATGTGGGCTGTAGGCCTGGTTCTGAGTCTGCTCAGCTGGAGAATTTGGAGCTAGAGCTGTCCACTCGCTGGCTGAGCAAAAGTTCCTGCTCTGCGAGACGGAGGGGCTACATGAGCAGCTGCACAGAGGCCCCCAGAGGGTCCACACACCGGCTGTCAGAACCAGGACTAGAGCCCAGACCCCCTTTGCCTGGAGCTTTCTCCACTTCACCTGCATCTCCCAGAGATTCTAGACTCCATCTCTTGAACTCTGAGAGTGCAGACCCAGTCGTTTCAGCTCAAACTACGTGCTTTAAATCTACCCTTCCCTCAAAACCCCTGACCCACCTAAAGATCACAAGTCACCCCATAATCTTTTCAGAAGGCCTGGTGGCTGGGCAGCCTATAATTTCCTTGACTCGCACTACCCACCCCAAGTACAGAACTGTTCTGGGCAGGACAATTGCTGGTATTTAGCAGAGTCTGGGTCTGCGCAGCTCAGCAGATGGTTTTCCATGGCCACAGTCCGCAGACGACTGTCTGGACATCCCATGCTGAAACCAAGCTTGGGCAGTATTACAGGTTTGCATAAAATCAGATCCAGCACGCCAAAGTTTGGTTACTCCCACTCCTGTACCCAGCAAGCATCTCCACAGGGATTCCACACATCTGAAAATGGAAAAAGTACTAAACCTTAACCATTTTTACCTTTCCTCTGACTGTCTGCCATTTTCCACTTGACAAATAGCATAAGAAGCCCTTTTACCTCTTCCCCATGAGAACAGTCTGAAAAATGGTTAACATAGATTGCTAGTTAGCATTAACCACAGTGAGGGAAAATGTAAAACATTAATGTCACCTTTTTATATGGCAATGTTGAGCATTGGAGGCTAATAATAAACTCTTATTTACAGGGTCAAACACCACAATATGTACATATCACTAGAGTGTGTTTGCAAAATAGGCAATAACTGCTCTAAATAGACTGTCTCAGAATGACTAAGAAATAATAAGTGTCTTGCCTTCAAAATTAACAACAGAGGAAAAGCATATTATTTTAGGCACTACAGTAAGAAGCAGCTTTCCCTGGGAGGGGTGCGGCTGCAGCAGGAGATATTCAAAACTCAGAGCTTGTCCTCATGTTACTTCCCATACAGCAGGAAGCAGGGCCACGTATAGTTGTGGGAAGAGCAAGACCCACAGAGTAAACACTGCCTGAAGAGGTTACATCAGACAACTTCAGAGTCTAGACCCGGAAAGAACCTTCGTGTCCCTTGAACTCCAGCCTGCCTGGCCCTTAATTTGCAGTAACTTGCTCAAGTTCACACAAGGTAAAGCAGGAAATGCCCACAGAAAATTCCCACCCAAAGATGTTCAGATTCTTGGGGTTTATGCACTGGCTTTGAATGCAGGCCAGCCTTTCAGCCCCAGCTCTGCTTCTGTGTCGCCTGGGATAAATCAGTAAACTTCATGGTATGATAAATCAGTACACATTCCTCTGTATTAGAAGTGGCAGCACTGGCCCTACTACCCAAAGTAATCTGCAGATTCAGTGTGATGCCTATCAGAACACCAACAGCATTTTTCACAGAATTAGAGCAGATAATCCTAAAATTTGTATAGAACCACAAAAGATCCTAGGCAAAGCAATCTTGAGAAAGAACACAGCTGGAGATAACATACTTCCTGATTTCAAATTATATAACAAAGCTGTAGTAATCAAAATAGTGTGGTACTGGCACAAAAACAGACATGTAGATCAATGGAACAGAATAGAGTACCCAGAAATAAGCCCATGCTTCTGTGGTCAATTAGTATATGACAAAGGATACAAAAACACAATGGGGAAAGGACAGTCTCTTCAATAAATGGAAAACAGGACAGCTATGACCAAAAGAATGAAACTAGATCACTCTCATACACCATACACAAAAATTAACTCAAAATGGATTAAAGACTTAAATATAAGAGGTGAGACTATAAAACCCCTAGAAGAAAACAGGCAGTAAACTCTTGAATATTGGCATTAGAATTTTTTTCTAGGTAGATCTCACTAAACAAAGGCAACAAAAGCAAAAATAAACAAGTGGGACTACATCAAAACTAAAAAGCTGTACAGTAAAAGAAACCATCAAGAAACAAAAAGGCAACCTACTGAATGGGAGAAGATATTTGCAAATGATATATCTGATAAGGGGCTATTATCCAAAATACATAAAGGGCACGTACACCAAAAAAGAAAAAAAACCCACAAATAATCCACTTTTAATATAGACAGAGGACCTGAACAGATGTTTTTCCAAAGGAGACATACAGATGACCAACATAAAATGCTCTACATCACTGGTCATCAGAGAAATGCAAATCAAAACCACAATATCACCTTACACCAGTCAGAATGAACACTATCAGAAAGACAAGAAATAATAAGTGTTGGTGAAGATGTAGAGAAAAGGGAACCCTGTGACAGTGTTGGTGGAAATGTCAATTGGTACAGCCACTGTGGAAAGCAGTATGGAGTTCCTTAAAAAACTAAATATAGAAATACATACAACCCATAATTCCACTTCTGCAGAAAAATGAAGTAATAAATTTGAATTATATATGCACTGCTATTTTTATTGCAGCATTATTTAACATAGCCAAGATATGGAAACAGCCAAAGTGTCCATCAATAAAGAAATGGGTAAAAAGACATGATACATATATGTAATAAAATATTACTCAGCTATGAAAAAAAGAAGGAAATCTTGCCATTTGTGACAACATGGATGGACCTAGAGGGCATTATGGCAAGTGAAATAAGTCAGACAAAGAAAGGTAAATACCACATTATTCCACTTATATGTGAAATCTAAAAGATAAAACAAAACAAATGAACAAAACAGACTCATAAACACAGAAAACAGACTAGTGGTGGCCAAAGGGAAAGG